GCACGCACGCACACACAGACACTCCAACCTCACGCACATGTACGAGCATATAATATGAATATTCTGAATATATAACATGTATATAATATGTTCGTGTGCGTATATATTATATTTACCGTTATATAGGTGTAATTACATAAAATATCGATTTTTATATACCTACATTTTAATGGTGTGTTCGTGCGGGTGCATATGTGTGCTTCACTTTATGTGTGCGTGCGTGCAACACTGCATGTTTATGGACTATACGTGGTTGGAATGGAATGCACGTTTTTTACCAAATCCCCCCCCCCCCCCACACACACACTTCAGCCTTCTTCTCTAATTATACAAATAATATGAGCTGAAAACGACGCCGTGTCTTTAGTCTTTAGCCGTGGGGGTGTGTGCGCTCAGTTCAGTGATTTCTGTTGCTGTGCTGCAATAATTGCGCCGGGAGACATATGCAAACTCCAATACGGTAAAGTACAAACACATGTACCGCCGCCGCCGCCCACAAGTCTTGTGCCTGTATTGCATCATCACCACCACACACACACACACACACACACACCACAGCCACCGCACCAATAGGCTACCCCCACCACGACCTGCCCGTGGCGCGCCTCAGACAGTCAGACAGACAGACAGACAGACAGACAGACAAACACACGTACAAACATACACAAAGGCACTTCCTTCCGCGTGAAAAGGCGCGGGTGCCCATTCAGTCTGCTCTCGAAAACTTCTGACGTCTGCTGAGATGCGGTAAAAATATCGGTAGCCAATCATTGCAATGTATTGAGCTGGTCAACATTCCATTTCCAGATCAACCGGATTTTGAATGTACCCGTTTGTGATGCACCCGCTCAAACCGTTTGGGGATTAAATTGATGGACGTTTCGAGGGGATCTGGTACGGTACTAACGTAAAAACTCGATTTTAATTTTAGTTCTTATAAGCAATAGGAGGTAGACCTAAGAATGGAATGTCTGTTTACGTAGAACCCAAAACCCACCCCCCTCAGAGTTCTAATCAAACATTAGCTTTTCCTTCCAGTTTGCTTTCCAACAACTTTCATGTGGTATATATGTTATCTCTCAACATGTTTTAAAAATGCTCTTCTAGTTAATCTCTAATGTTCTATAAAATGTTATGCCCTGTAATAAACCATGCCAGCACAGTGACAAGCGCCTTAACCACACCCCACCCCCACCTTTGTATTTTCAGTTCGTCTCTCCTTTCTACCGCACCCCCGCTCCTTTAAAAAAATTGTTTTGTTCACTACAACTCTTTCAGAAAGTAAAGTAAGCCGAACATACTGTTAAAAGCATTCTTTGAAGCAAACCCAAGCACTTACGTTTAACAAAATCAGCTTAAAAAAAAAGTAGGTGTCCTAGCTAAAAAAATTATCTTGTAAAGCATATTCTTATTATACTGACGTCTTTGACGTAATGGTTAGGCTCCTTTGCCGATATACTTTGACAACCTCACGGAAAAGTCTATTTATTCCAAGTATCTCTTTTTACTGGGATACTGTATCCTCTCACCAGTGTTGTATCCTCTCACACAGAGTTGGCTCTGACAGACAAGGACATATCAGTCTGCCCCCTGATTACTCCAACTGTATCGATGAAGATGGGAATACAATTTCAATGAACAATTAATAATTGATAATGATTTGGATCTTCGGGTCATAAGTTACCTATTCGCGGAAAATCACACGGTTAACCGGACCTTTCCCTTCAATTTCGGAAACCACTTGCAACCCCGCAGCCAATCACAGAGGGCTATCCCACACCGGCGTACCTGTCGAATATCGACACGTACGGTGTTCGTTCACAGACATAATAATTCACACACGCAGACACACACGCGCGCATACATTTAAACATAGATAATGATTTAGAAAAATTCTTCTCCCCCCCTCCCCTTTTGCTCAAACAGCAGACGAATTTCGAATTCACCAGATAGTTATAATTTTATGTTTATCTTTCAACTCGCGTTTCCGTTTCTTTCAAGTTGCATGTCATTCGCGTAGAGGTTTTAGGTTGCTATTTTTAGCGGCTGTTTTAACAACGGTCTCCGGATACGTGCGCGTCTAAAGTCGTCCATGTAATTTGAGGGCATTTATGACGTGATTATTCGTTGTTGTGTTTTTTTTGGCGTAGAGGACAACGGATTTTTGTCTCCTTTTCTGAAGACGGTGTCATTTTATATTCTTCCACCCATTATGGACGTCTGCTGGGAAATTTTCTGTGGCGTGAAAAAAATGTTAATGTGGAGGCGAGACGTTGAGACTTGATATCCGAGAAGTTAGCCAAGTTCAACAACCACTCTGTTTCCAAAGGTGTTTTCCCCCCACACTGTGAGAGTTCATTCCCGAAAGGTACCCCAAGGATCTGAAGGAGTTATTGTTTTATCGTTGTATTTTATCTCATACAATTTCCTTGCCTTGAGCAATAGAGACGATTTCTGCTGGACATTGTATGAATGAGGTAAGGAATACAGTGCTGATTGTGTGTGTATGTGTGTGTTTGTTTGTGTGTGTGTGTTTGTGTATGTGTATGTATATGAATCTGTGTGTGTGTGTGTGTGTGTGTGTGTGTGTGTTTGTGTTATGTGTTCCAATTTCTGTATTTCACTCATTTCCATACCTGTTAGGTCCACCCCTCCCGTCT